CGACAATGTCTTCCCGATCCTCCGATAGGCCTTCCTCCGCCGGTGGTGCACCACCTTCGACCGGTAACACCCCCCTTAATGGCGCACAACACTTCATCTCGATGAAGTTGACGAGCAGGAACTTCCTTTTCTGGAGAACACAACTTCTCCCATTCCTTTGCGGCCAGGATCTCCTCAGGTACGTAGATGGCTCCACCCCGTGCCCGTCGTCGACTGTCGTTGCCACGCCGTCCGGAGAGTCTGGCTCCGATGCCTCCTCCGCTGATCCGGTTCCCAATCATGCGTACAAGATATGGGTTCAACAGGATCAATCGATCCTTTCCCTCCTCATCTCGGCGATGTCTGACGAAGTCCTCCATCTCGCCGTAGGCCGGAACACCGCTGCGGAGGTGTGGCGCTCCATTTGCGCGGCTCTCGGTTCGAATACCCAAGCCCGGTGTCTCAGTCTTCTCAATCAATTTTAGACCATGCGGCAAGGCAACTCTTCCCCAACGGAATTTCTCGGGCATGCGGAGCTTCTTGTTGAGGCTCTTGCGCAGGCCGGGCAGCCGTTGTCACTCGGTGAACAGAACTTATATGTTCTGAGAGGCCTCCGTCCGGAATACCGGAGCTATGCGGTGTCGCTCACGGCAACCACACCACTGACATTACCGCAGATGGCGGATCATCTGCAGGCGGCGGACTTTTTCCTAGCAGACGACTTCGGCTCTGCAGATGGTGGTCCTCACTCGGCGATGTATGCAGGCCGGAGACGTGCAGCAGGTTCATCGGATGGTGGTCGCGGCAGCAATAATTCCGGCAGAGGCGGTCAAGGTAGCCGGGGAAATAATTCCGGCAGAGGTGGTCGCGGCGGTAGAGGAGGACCCCGGTGCCAAATATGTCGTTCCCACGGACACACAGCACTCTACTGCTACAAGAGGTATTCCGCACCACCACCAGCGCAGGCCAATGTGGCTGTCTCCGGTGATCCGGCCGGCACCATCACCGCTCCGACAGATTCGTGGTATCCGGACACCGGTGCCACCGCCCACGCTACACCGGACGCCGGCATGCTGAGTAATACGGAGGAATATGTTGGCCCGGACACGCTCCGGGTTGGAAACAGTACAGGTTTGGCTATCTCGCGGATTGGTCATGCATCTATCCCATCCGTGTCAAAACACTTACTCATGTCTAATGTGCTGCACGTCCCTAATTTAACAGTCCCATTACTTTCTGTCCAAAAGTTTGCTAATGATAATCATGTGTATTTTGAATTTCATGGTCATTGTTTTTTTTGTGAAGGATTCCAAAACCAAGGTCACACTTCTTAAAGGTCCAACCGCAGGCGGTCTATACAAGTTACCTGTGTCTCGTTCCCACTTAGCGTTTGTGAGTTCCCGTGCTACGCCGGCTGTGCGGCATCGCAGGCTTGGTCACCCGCATAGTGTAGTCCAAAACAAAATCCTTCATAGTTGCTCCGTTCAGGCAAATAATTCCAAAGAATTGGGGTCATGCACGGCTTGCCATCTCGGCAAGTCTTCCCGTTTCAAGTTAGAAAGTGTTGAGAATAATAGTCAAAATGTATTAGATCTATTATTTACAGATATCTGGGGCCCCGCTCCTGTAGTGTCAACTAGTGGATATCGTTATTTTCTGCTATTTGTTGATGACTTCACACGTTTTACCTGGTTTTATCTATTACGAGTAAAATCGGATATCTATAAAATTTTTGACTCGTTTCGTTTGTTGGTAGAGCGGCAATTTTCGCGCTCTATCAAGTCAATCCAATCAGATTTAGGGGGTGAATACAAAAAATTACACACAACCTTTCAATCATTGGGAATTGAACACCGGCAATCTTGTGCGTATACGCATGAACAAAACGGAAGAGTTGAGCGCCTTAACAGACACATTGTCGAAACGGGTTTAGCTCTTCTTGCTCAAAGCTCCGTCCCACAAGAATATTGGGACTACGCTTTTGAAACTGCCACCTGTTTAATTAACTACCTTCCCACCTCGGTCTTAAAGTTTGAAAGTCCATACTATCGCCTCTACAAAAAGTCACCACCGTACCAATTTCTTCGTGTCTTCGGGTGTCAATGTTACCCCCATCTAAGGCCATATAATCGGCACAAGATGGAGTGTCATTCCACCCCATGTGTCTTCCTAGGTTACCCATCATCCTATAGGGGATACAGATGCATGGATCCAATCAGTGGGAAAACCTATATTTGTCGCCATGTGCGGTTTGACGAGAATGTGTTTCCCTTTGCAACAGGTTCTGTGCAGGTTCAGGACTCTACACCTGCATCTCTACCTTGGGCATCAACTCCCGTATCACCGGTGCAATCTTGCCAAATTATGCCAACTCCGGACCCTGAACCAGTCCCGTTGGCCCAAGAGGCACCTTTGTTGGCCATTGAGCCAAATGAACCTAGACGGGCCCGGAAACGAACCGATGTTCAACCTCTGGCTATGCGCCTTCGGCATATGACTCGGGGTTATAATGAAGAGTTCCATGCTCTAACAGCAACTACTGATCCAACATGCTACTCCCAAGCTGTAGGTCATCCACATTGGCGTGACGCAATGGATCAAGAGTTCAACGCTCTTCTTCACAACAACACGTGGCGATTAGTTCCCCCAAACCCAACCATGAACATTATTGGGTGCAAATGGGTCTTCCGTACAAAACGGACCGCCGATGGCTCGACTGATCGCTATAAGGCTCGTTTGGTAGCCAAAGGCTTCAATCAAGTCGCAGGGGAGGACTTCTTCGACACGTTCAGTCCAGTCGTGAAACCCACGACCGTTCGCATCTTGTTCTCTTTAGCTGTCTCGAACAAGTGGACTCTCCGCCAGCTGGATGTCCACAACGCCTTCCTGAATGGCCATTTAGCTGAGACAGTATACATGAAACAACCACCAGGATATGAAGATCCGACACACCCTGATCATGTCTTTCTTTTGCAGCGGTCTCTATATGGGCTTAAGCAAGCTCCAAGGGCCTGGTTCAAGAGACTTCACGACTTTTTACTGTCTGCAAGTTTCTTTTCGTCCAAGACTGATGTCTCATTATTTTACCACTCGGCGGGGGTCTCGAAAGTGTTCTTACTTGTCTATGTGGATGACATCATCATGATGGGCAGTGACGCCGCTCTTGTTGAGTCCTTGCTACGTCGCCTTGCATCAGCGTTCAAGATTAGAGATCTTGGCACTCCAGGGTTCTTCTTGGGCATCGAGACAGTATCGGCTAATGGCGGGATGATTTTGTCACAGCATAGGTACATGGTGGACTTACTTAATCAATCTGGGATGACGGACTGCAAATCCCTCACTACTCCGGCGTCTGTTTCTCAAGCTGTCACTCCATCCGATCAGCCTTTTGAGAATCCTACGCAATATCGTCGCATTGTTGGGGCATTGCAGTACCTGACTATCACTCGGCCAGACCTCGCGTATGCTGTCAACCGCCTATGTCAGTTTATGCACTCTCCTACTGACGACCACTGGGCAATGGTCAAACGTGTGTTACGGTATATTAAGGGTACTCTTAACTACGGTCTCCGACTTACTCCTTCCGCTTCAAGCGACATCCATGCCTACTCTGACTCTGACTGGGCTGGGTGTCCGTTCGACAGGAAAAGCACCAGTGGCTATGCTGTCTTTCTCGGGAGTAATCTTGTTTCCTGACTCTCTCGGAAGCAACGCACTGTTGCTCGCTCCTCCACTGAGGCGGAATATAAAGCCCTAGCTGATGTTGCTGCTGAAGTCACCTGGATGGTCTCTCTGTTGCGGGAACTTGGGTTGCACACTGGGCGTCCCTCCAACTTATGGTGTGACAACCTTGGCGCTACATACTTATGCGCTAACCCTGTGTTTCATGCTCGGACGAAGCATGTTGAGATAGATTACCACTTTGTTCGTGACAAGGTAGCCTCCGGCGACTTCGTGGTCAACTTTGTCTCCACCAAGGATCAGCTAGTCGATGTTCTCACTAAGCCACTACCTGGACCCCGGTTTACAGCTCTGCGAGACAAGCTCAACATTGTGGATCACCAATCTTGTGCTTGAGGGGGTGTATTAGTGTTACTGTTATTATTATTATTTAATTATATGTAACATAGTTTGTATTTCTGTGGTCCTAGAATTAGTCTTATATTTCTAGTCTATTAGTCAGGAGTGTTTAGTGGTGAGATTAGATATACTCACGTGTAATTGTTTTCTGTTTGTTTTGAATGAATTATCTTTCTAATCGTATGCTATAAATAGGGGGTCTGGGTTCCTAACAGGGGGTAAGAAAGACATAACAAACACTACGGTCTAGTGGTCTTGAATTTTGCAACTGAGATCATGCTAGAAATAATCATCAACATATTATTATCTTCCTCACCAAAAAAAAAAAACCATATTATTATCTTAAATTATTGTTGATAATGTATTTTTTATATTTTAAATTTAATATTAAATTAGTGTAAAATATTCTTGACTTTAAAGAATGAGATGCGTGTACATCCAAAAAAAAAAAAAAAAGTATGAAATGAGATTTGATTTCCATTGACTTGATTTTACAGACACATCCAAACACTAGAAACCCATAAAATTATTTTCAGAAATCATTTTTCGGATATCTAAACACACTTTTAGTGGACTTTCAAATGGTACGTTGTGAATAATATGTTGATGTTTCTACAAAACAATGGAAATGAATATCATAATCAAGCTCCGTAATAAACGCCAAGCACTTGCGCTTAGATGACATATAGTGACCTCTCTCATATAAGAGGTCATGAGATCAAGCCTTGATGGAGGTGTTGTTGATTAGAGTCAATAGCATTAAAAAAAAAAGGAATAAAGTTTGAAACAGACATGTTTTATTGCAACTTTTCGTAAAAGAAGAACAAAGTTTGAAACGGACATGTTTGATTGCAACTTTTCGTTGCAAGTTGTGTGACTTTTCTAGTTGTGGCAAAATTTCGTGAAAATAGAATTTCTCTTAAAACATTATTACAAAGACGTTATGAAAATATCGCAGTTGATGAAAAGATTATATACCACACAACTACAATTTTAATTTTTCCACATCACTTAATACAAGTACAAACTGGAAGAGTAACAAACAGTGAAACGGGTAAAATGTTTATGGTAAATCTTAAGCCATGGGAAATGGTTTCATTTCATCAACATTGAAAGAGATTGGAGTTCAAACTGCAACATCACCATAGGAAGAGACCATCTTGAGGACATAAACTGGATCTCCCACCTTAATGGTTTTTGGTTTTCCTCGAGCATCCCAATCATTACAAACGAAAGTCTGTCCGAAGTACACCTACATAGATGCGGATATCAGTGCAGTATTTAAAAAGAAATTATGAAATTCGCTTAATAAAATAGTACTTGACATTCATAAACTATTACCCTTCCATGTGGTTTTTTATCGGGATGCAAGTTCTCACTTGAGCGGAACTTAGTAAGAGTTTCATTTGGCTCAGCGCCTACTTCTGCTGTTTCTTGATTAACTCTAGGTATCTGATCATAATATCATAATAGAATTGTGATATGAATTTCATCAAAAGCCAGTTTAGATGATTAGAGTCTGATATCTCAGAAAGCATATATGGTTATGGTGACATGGGAAACCTTTCTTCAACTTTTTAACCATTACAAATTCCTGAGCATACATCTAAATCTGTAAATCACCACAGCGGTAGATGCAGAGGAAATTACCTTACAGCGGTAACATAGTTGTGCGCTATTATATGTTAACCCGTTTATCTTGATCTCTTTCCAAAAATCTTCAGCATACGGTTCACATCCATCAACAAGAATGCTGCAGGCAAGTTCCAAAGTTTCATGGATTAAGAGTTTGATGTTTTTGTTGTAGCAATGACACAATAGCCACAAATTTTTAACAGACTGCAGATCAGAGATTAGTTAATTATAGCCATAAGCAAGATTTAACTCTGCTATGTTCCTGCATAAAAAGAGTGCCAATAAGGGAAGTAGATTTATTATACAGACTACAGATCAAGGCTTTTCCTTTGTGTGTTTGACCCTTTTGGGTTTTGGCTATGGATTGATTTTCTGAATCTGAGCTATGACCTATGCTAGAACATCAAGATAGAAGTAGGAATTTTACTTGGGTCTAAAGCGATTCATAGAAACAGGCTCCTTCATCTGCTCGTTTAAAACATCCAGTGATTTCTGGCAACAACGAAGAAACAATATAAAGTTAGTAACCAGAATATGGCTATAAGAACATAATAGTTCAAAGAAATACTCATCACCATTTGTGTACCACAGTCTCTCACCTGGGATGCAAGAAGAATTGGATAGGCATCATTAAACTTAATCTTGTGGCCAGCGCCATAGTTGGGGTCCACAGGCCTAGTCTGTGATGCTGCATGAACACAAGAAGATGAGAGAGTATTATCAGTTATCAATCACAGCTTCAATTGATAACACAGTCTGCAACTGGTGAACATGAGAATTCGGACATCAATCTTCCAACTATTTAGCATGTAGATTATCAATTTAGGGTTACATAAGCATCAAATTAAGATAACATGGTCTAAATATCATCATAGCTGCTGGCAGCCAATATATCTATGAAGTTATACAAAGCATCATGCACTTGATATTGATCACATTCATATATATATCATGGTGAAAACTTTTAGTTGAGACGAATACTTCCTTCAATTCTAGATAATACCTTCATGAAAGCGCACTAGCCGGCAAGGTTTCCCAAGATACTTGGTGAACCACTCTGCTGCTTCATCTCCCTCATCCAAAGCAGAGCCAGACCATTCCCATACAGAGATACCATCAGATACAGTGGAAGGTTCAATCAATGGGACCTTGAGAGCATCCATACCAGGAGCCCTTATCTCTGTTCGGAGCAAACTAGTAATCATTTATCATTTCCGAGAAATTAAAAGTTCAAACCCTTTGATTTCTTCATGACATTCTTCAATAACCTACCTAAAAACGAGCCGTTTTTCGGCTCCCAACCCTCGCAGAAGGCGTCGCGCGGCAGCTCCACTTCAACGAGGGCGAGACTTGGCTCAACTCTTTGCGTGCACGCTCTGCCTCCTGAATTCACCACCATCCATAGACGATCCCACCGGAATCCTAATCGTACAAATTCACTCAAGCATTTACAATTTTCCAGAAGAGTTTCAGTTATTGTCCATAAATCAAGTTTCGGCAGACGATCGATCATTCAGAAAATGGAAGAAATCACAAACATTCATATCATAGAATTAATTATACACACACGAACAGACAAAGTGTATTACCAGTAGAACAGATGGGTGCTTCAGAAACGGAAATTCCACGGCATGATTTGACAGGGTATATCCACATTGATTCCACTTTCGCTGCTTCTTCACAATCCTCCATCCTTTCTTCCTTCCCTAAAAGACGGCCAATTAGGCCAGTTAAGCTCATGTTTGAGTAATTTCTTTCAATCGACGAAACAACTACTTTTTCTTCTTCTTCTTCTTCCTCCTCTCTGAATAATTTCTGGTGAGCTCAGGAGTATAATGAACATCACCTCCCTAGCAATTTACTGTGCTGTATATGCATACGGACGCCAGTTGTTTCCAGTCGTTGTCGTGTACAGAGCGTTCTTCTGTCGCATTCTCTGCATATTCCAATACATTTCGTCATTGCGCACCTTACATCTCTACATGATATTTCATGCTCTAAAAAGTCATCATTGCTCCAACTCACGCAAATTGATGAAGCTAACTTTTTTGAATACTAAATTACATTCTCAATCAAATAAAACACAAATAGTCAATATTATCAAGTTCAAACTCACAATCTCGAAGCAATTTAGTGCCATTGAACCACAAGATCCTTGGTAAAGGTTCATCTTGCACTATGAACCCTTGTTCATATCTACATTCTATGTGTGAAATTCTGTATCTTAAAAATATGAATTCTGTACTTCAAAAAATTAATAATCGCGTCTTATGCTTTGAAAAATAAGTAAATATATAACATTTGTATGTATCTTGTGTTACAATTTTTTGTCCCTTGTATTATAAAATTGTATACCTTATAAATATAATTATAATTGTAGAAAGCACTTTTAAGCTCATTTCATATCCCTTTACTCATATCAACCAAGCTAATTAGTGACTATAAGTTTTTATTGTCACTCAAAAATAAAAATGCATCATTTTATATTAAGTCCACAATTAATGTATAATGTTTAATACGGAGTAATAGTTATTGGCCTATTTGATAAATGGTTGTTAAAATCAAGGTTCTACAAAACAATGGAAATGAATATTATAATCAAGGTTCCGTAATAAAATTTGTTCCAAACTTCCAACGGAATAAAGTTTGAAACGGACATCTTTGATTGCAACTTTTCGTTGCAAATTGTGACTTTTCTAATAGTGGCAAAATTTTGTGAAAATAGCATTTTTCTTGAAACATTATTACAAAGACGTTATGAAAATATCACAGTTGAAAAAAAGATCATATACCACACAACTACAATTTTAATTTTTCTACATTAATTAATACAAGTACAAACTAGAAGAGTAGCAAACAGTGAAACGGTTAAAAAGTTTATGGTAAATCTTAAGCCATGGGAAATGGTTTTATTTCATCAACAGGGAAAGAGATTGGAGTTCAAACTGCAACATCACCATAGGAAGAGACCATCTTGAGGACATAAACTAGATCTCCCACCTTAACGGTTTTTGGTTTTCCTCGAGCATCCCAATCATTACAAACCAAAGTCTGTCCGAAGTACACCTATATAGATGCGGATATCAGTGCAGTATTTAAAAAGAAATTATGAAATTCGCTTAATAAATGTTAGTACTTGACATTCATAAACTACTACCCTTCCATGTGGTTTTTTATTGGGATGCAAGTGCTCACTTGAGCGGAACTTTGTAAGAGTTTCGTTTGGCTCAGCCCCTACTTCTGCTGTTTCTTGATTAACTCTTGGTATCTGATCATAATATCATAATAGAATTGTGATATGAATTTCAATATCAAAAGCCAGTTTAGATGATAAGAGTTATGATATCTCAGAAAGCATATATGTTTAATGGTTATGGTGACATGGGAACCCTTTCTTCAACTTTATAACCATTAGAAATTCCCGAGGATACATCTAAATCTGTAAATCACCACAGCGGTAGATGCAGAGGAAATTACCTTACAGCGAAAACATAGTCGTCCGCTATTAAATGTTAACCCGTTTATCTTGATCTCTTTCCAAAAATCTTCAACATACGGTTCACATCCATCAACAAGAATGCTGCAGGCAAGTTCCAAAGTTTCATGGATTAAATAAGAGTTTGACATTTTTGTTGCAGCAATGACACAATAGCCACAAACTTTTAATAGATTGCAGATCAGAGATTAGTTGATTATATCACTGCTATATAATTATATCCATAAGCACGATTTAACTCTGCTATTTTCCTGCATAACAAGAGTGCCAATAAGGGAAGTAGATTTATTATACAGACTACACAGATCAAGGCTTTTCCTTTTGTGTGTTTGGCCCTTTTGGGTTTTGGCTATGGATTGGTTTTCTGAATCTGAGCTATGACCTATGCAAGAACATCAAGATAGAAGTAGGAAATTTACTTGGGTCTAAAGCGATTCATAGAAACAGGCTCCTTCAGCTGCTCGTTTAAAACATCCAGTGATTTCTGGCAAAAACGAAGAAACGATATAAAATTGGTAACCAGAATATGGCTATAAGAAACATAATAGTTGAAAGAAATACTCATCACCATTTGTGTACCACAGTCTCTCACCTGGGATGCAAGAAGAATTGGAAAGGAATCATTAAACTTAATCTTGTGGCCAGCGGCATAGTTGGGGTCCACAAGCCTAGTCTGTGATGCTGCATGAACACAAGATGAGAGAGTATTATCAGTTATCAATCACAGCTTCAATTGATAACACAGTCTGCAACTGGTAAACATGAGAATTCAGACATCAATCTTCCAACTATTTAGCATGTAGATTATCAATTTAGGGTTACATAAGCATCAAATTAAGATAACATGGTCTAAATATCATCATAGCTGCTGGCAGCCAATATATCCAACAAGTTATACAAAGCATAATATATATCAGCATAAACTTTTAGTTGAGACGAACACTTCCTTCAATTCTAGATAATACCTTCATGAAAGCGCACTAGGCGGCTAGGTTTCCCAAGATACTTGGTGAACCACTCTGCTGCTTCATCTCCCTCATCCAAAGCAGAGCCAGACCAACCCCACACAGAGATACCATCAGATACAGTGGAAGGTTCAATCAATGGGACCTTGAGAGCATCCATACCAGGAGCCATTATCTCTGTTTGGAGCAAACTAGTAATCACTAATCATTTCCGAGAAATTAAAAGTTCAAAACCATGAAATCTGGAAACCCTTCGATTTCATGACATTCTTCAATAACCTACCTAAAAACGAGCCGTTTTTCGGCTCCCAACCCTCGCAGAAGGCGTCGCGCGGCAGCTCCACTTCAACGAGGGCAAGACTTGGCTCAACTCTTTGCGTGCACGCTCTGCCTCCTGAATTCACCACCATCCACAGACGATCCCACCGGAATCCTAACCGTACAAAATCACTCATGTATTTACAATTTTCCAGAAGAATTTCAGTTATTGTCCATAAATCAAGTTTCGGCAGATAATTGAATATAAGTTATCACATCGCCGGTGCATGAAGAAACTGATCGATGTGATCATTCAGAAAATGGAAGAAATCAGAAACATTCGTATCATACAATTAATTATACACACACGAACATACAGAGTGTATACCAGTAGAACAGATGGGTGCTTCAGAAACGGAAATTCCACGGCATGATTTGACAGGGTATATCCACATTGATTCCACTTTCGCTGCTTCTTCACAATCCTCCATCCTTTCTTCCTTCCCTAAAAGACGGCTAATTAGGCCAGTTAAGCTCATGTTTGAGTAATTTCTTTCAATCGACGAAACAAATACTTTTTCTTCTTCTTCTTCTTCCTCCTCTCTGAATAACATCGCCTCCCTAGCAATTTACTGAGCTGTATATGCATACGGACGCCGGTTGTTTCCAGTCGTTGTCGTGTATAGAGCGTTATTTTGCCACATTCTCTGCAAATTCCAATACAGTTCGCCATTGCGCACCTTACTGCAATCATGCTCTAAAAAGGCATCATTGCTCCAACTCACACAAATTGCTCAAGCTCATAACTTGATAACTTTGACTATTTAAATTAAACACCATTCTATCGATCCTTATACCATGCACCAGGTTCATATTATATTACACTATAGACACTGGTTCATATCTATGTGTTTTGTGTTATAATTTTCTTTATTTTGTGTTTTGAAATTCTGTAAAGTATGAATCCTGTATTTAAAACAAACTAGTATTTTCGCCCGTGCGATGCACGGGATGGATTTGTTATAATATATTAAAAATATTTGGATTGATATATAATTATTTAAATTAGAACATCAAATATTATACAGTGCAATTGAAGATATGTTTTGGATTATTTATGTGTTTTGATGTTATCATTGTTTGAATTTGAGCAAATAATTGCTCAAATTAATAGCTGATGTGTAGATGTACGCATGCGATACCGTAACTTTGAAGATTTTATTTATCATTGTTTAGTTTTTTTTTTTATTTTATAAATTAGGCAAATGTGTTCGTTCTCTAGCAACTCAGTTATAGGAATGAATTGCTATCTTAATTCATTTGTATGGAATATATATATTTTTGTCTAGATATATAGCAATTTTGTCATTAAAAAAACATAATATCAACGATTGTATTTGCACATTATTGAAACCTGTTTGTAGATGACATCGGTTGTAGCAACGCAATCCTGTCCATCATCGTATAGAGCTAACACCTTCAGTCCATCAGGATAGGTGACTCGGGTGAAAATATATAATGGTAGAGTATTAGTCAATTAGCGATCATTTTATATTTTAAGTCAATTAGTAATATCAAATTCATTTTCAGCAAATTATTCTTTTATATTTTTAGTCAATTAGTCAATTAGAATATCATATGTAGTGATATTTTTATCTAATTTTTGTTCAATTTTTAATTAATGATGTATAATATTAATATTGAAATATTTACATTACATTTTTAATTTATCTTTAATATTGTTTAAAATATACATTTACTATTCATGATGTAGAATTATTATTGAAATATTTCCGTTAAATTTTAGTTTCCGTTCCATTTATTTTTTTCATATTAATCAATTATGGATCATTTTTTATTTGCAATCAACTATTAGTATTCATTTCTTTTTATATTTTCAGTCAATTTGTAATGTCATATTCATTTTCAGCCAATTATTTCTTTTTTATTTTCATTCAATTAGTCAATTAGAATATCAGATGCTGTGATATTTTTACCTAATTTTCGTTTCATTTTTAATTGATGAAGTAGAATATTATTATTGAAATATTCTGGTTTCATTTTTAATTTACATGTACTATTGTTTAAAATATGCATTTACTATTGATGATGTAGAATATTATTATTAAAATATTTCCTTTTCATTTTTAATTTACTTTTACTTGATGATGTAGAATATTATTATTAAAATATTTTCGTTCTATTTTTAATTTCCATTTCATTGTTTAAAATTGTGAAAGATTTATGACA